ATGCAATCGCGATTTATTTCACATGCCGGATTGATGGAATGCTTGTATCGTATTATATGGATCATCTCCATCTTTTTGGATGCGAAGATTATTTTGTTCCTAACTCTCCAGTGGAATATGCTTTTCACATCTCTTGCTAGTATTGTGACGTTTGTTGAACGCTTGCCGATGATCGGTATAGACAGATGTCGTTTACATACCCGAATCGGAGTTTAGGGTCTTGCTAGAGTAGCTCTGCGAGATAAAGTATGTATAGGACTGGCGAGAGGGGTGAGCCTTGTGGGGTACCGCATTCCACTGTGCTGTAGCCAGTTATTGCTTCGTTAAGTCTAACCCTGAGTTGCCTTTGGGTTAAGAAGGAGTCGATCAGAGCGATCAGGTTCTGTGGGAACCCCAACTAAATCATAATGAACACCTGAATTGAAAGATCTCCAAAAGAGCTAAAAGAAGTAAAGCAAAGAATTGAATTAGATCTAAAGAATTATAGCTTTAAGAAAGAATATCAAATTACTAGAAACAAATACTTTCAAGTTATTAAAACAGCAAAAAAGAATTATTAAATAAATTTCTAGAAAAGGAGAACACAAAGACAATTTTCAAAGTAATAGCTTATATTAAAGACTTTCAAAATCAAAGGATATTGGATATTACAATAAAAAGCTTTTTCAAAGGAAAATACTCTACTTTCAGATCAACTCTATTCCCATCTCCTCCTATTACCCCAAAACCATAATAGAAAGAATATAAACAATCCAAGAAATGAGAATGGCCTAATTTTACTCAAATCGAATTAAGCAATATCTGTTTAGCTAAAATTCAAGGAAAAACCCCTAATCCAGATGGAATCACTTAAGAGATTATTATAAAGATTTATAAAACAATTTTACAAATCTTTTTTACTTTTTTTAATAAACTTATTAATCTAGGATATCACCCGAAATATTGAAAACAAGTCACAAAAGCTATTCTAAAGAAAGCTTCTAAATTAGATTATTCCTTTTCAAAAGTATATAGAGTAATTGTATTCTTAAATTGTCTGGATAAAATAAGCAAAAGGATTCTAGCTCAATAATTAGGATATTTAGCGAAAACAATCCATTTCTTTCACAAAAGTCAAATGGGAGGATACCAAAAGAAATCAGCAATCGATACTGCACTTTTATTAATTACAGAAATCAAAAGAAACAAGTAAGCCAATAAAAAGACCTTAATATTATTTATAAATATAAAGAGAGTATTCAATCATATTTCGAGAATCGACTATTAGATATTTATAAGAAACTAAAATTGCCCACAAATCTAATAGTTTGAATAATCTCATTTCTTCAACAAAAACAATTGAAACTATCTTTTAATAATCAAATCGAATTTTTCAAACCAATTTCGACCGGAATACTACAAGGCAGCCTGATTTCTTCAATTCTCTTTCTTATATATATCAGGAAGCTCTTTTTATCCAATTCGATTAAGTTTTTTTTCTATATAAATAATATTGCTTTAATTACATATTCATCTATATAAAAAAAGAATATCAAAACTCTAGAGAAAATTACAAAACAAATCTATAAATTCAATTCTAGAAATACAATCCAATTCGATTTAGCAAAAACAGAGCTAATACACTTTTCATCATCCAAATTAACAAAAAAATATCCAATTATATTATTCAATTCGGAAATAATTGTATCCCAATCTCTTATTAGATAATTAAAAATATAGTTCAATCTGAACCTTAAATTCGATTAATATGTTAATATTCAAATTATACAAGCGAAAGGTGTCTTCCATTGAATAGCTCGATTAATTAATATTGAAAAGAGCCTTAATCCTAAAGCCCTTAGATAATTATATATAGCATGTGTAACCAGTATAGCTGATTACGGATTAGTGATTTAATGAAGAGGTTAAACTCATTTCAAGAATATAATATAATCGCTTCAAAACCTAGTTTTTCGAAAGATATTAAAAGTCTTCAAAACAGCCCCAATCCTTTTGATAGAAGTAGAAGCAGGTCTAAAGCCCCCAAAATTCGATTAGATTTAAATGTTAGGCAATACGCATTTCGTTTAACTAAATTCTTATCAAACCATTCAATCAATATCGAAAAGAAATATCAGCTCAATATCAAACCGATTTGGAAGTAATCCCTACTCCTCAAAGAAAACAATATAAATCAATCCAACTTGATAGAATTAGAGGATCAATAAATCAGGATCTCAATCCTATTCATTTGAAAAGATTATTCACTTCAACTTCCCCCCATGAAAAAAGGAAATTCCCTTCAGAGTCAATATTAGCAATTCATCAAAAGAAGATACTACTATTCTTCACAATATCGTTTTCAATCACAGAGATAAGGATACTATCTACATTTATACTGATACCTCTTCTACTGAAAAAGGAATAGGTATAGGTATAGGTATAATTGCAATACAACTAAACAATCGAATTTCATATTAATAACAATTGAATATTGATAGTAATCAACTAGTGTATAATAAAGAGCTTTACAGGGTTACTAGAGCTATTGAATATACTAGCACAATTGCCTATATTGGTAACAAATTCAAAATATATTCGGACAACCAAGCTGATCTATATCGCTTAAAAACACCATCAGATTACCCTGGACAAGCCTATCAGATTCGAGCAATCAAAACAGCGAAAATCATCAAAGCAAAAGGAGCTGAAGTATTTCTAAATTGGGTTTCAGGATATATTTTAGTAAAAGGAAATGAGCTAGCAGATAAATTAGTAAAGGAAGCAATTACAATATGTTTTATTTCAAACGAAATAAGTTTTGGACTTCTAGGTATAATAATCAAAAAGTACGATTCAGATCAATAACTTTCTATTCTCAATCAATACAAACTCAGATCAAATCAATCCCCTTTGATCTATTTAAAGCTATTTTTATGGAAGATAGGATTGAAAATCAAGCTATTAAGTGAAATCAAGCGAAACATTACTAGCGCATATTTTTAATTCAAATTAGGTTATGGATATATCAAATCTTATTTATATCGATTTAAACTTTTTGATAATAAATATATATATGGTAATATTGAGGCTTCATAATATCTCCTTATTAGTTATTTTATATACAAAGTAGAGAGAAAAGAAATATTCAAGAATATATCATTATCTAAAATCATTATATAGTTCCTATTCTATATAAAAGTAGATATTGAATTAGCTATTAAATTCACCAATATTATTAAAATCGCTATAAGAGTATGGCACTTGGTTAGGGCTTTTATATAAGACGAGATAGAGGAAGGAATAGTAGTAAAAGAGGAAAAAGGAGAAGAGAATGAAGAAGAAGTAATTAGGGAAATAAGAGAGGGCTTTGATTTTCTTATAATTTCTTGATTTTTATAATTTTCTTATTATATGCAATGTGTATAATGAGCGGGCACTGTTCCCCAGTATTTGTTTTCACTTCCCTAAATTCTAAATTGTATATATCCATTTTTGTAGAATAAAAAGTTATTTGCTAGAGCCTTTAGAGGTCTAGTTGTTCTATATAGTCTTAGACTGAAGGTGGACGTAAATGAAATCAATCAATCAATTTATGTATGCAACAGTCAGTCATTTCGGGGGATATCAAGGGTAATCCATGAATAGCTAGTCGTGAAGTTGACCCTTTGGCTTGGGCTTCCAATATTCAGGTTTAGGATGTAGAAAGCCTCGATGGCAATGAGATTAAGGTGCATGCACTAGAAACTGTAGGATTTATGGCGGAAGATGTTGATATATGTGTTGGTCAAGGTAATGCAACGACTGCATTACTGTGGGGTGATTCATTTATATTTTGGGTGCTGAATGGTCTTTTCGCTTTGATGTTACTGTGCTTATTCATCTAAAACTCGACCAAAAAGTTGTGTTTCACAGCCCTCCTTCTATTCATATCAAATTTCAAGTTGTCTATTTGAAAAGCACCTCGGTGACAAGAGACGGTGAAGAGCTATAGCTTGCAATGATCTGAAAAATTGTAACAGAAGATTATAGATAAATGAACTCGGTGAAAGGATTGGCTCTGATAGTTGGGTACGTCTAGAGAAAATGTGATGGTCTTAGAGCAGAGCAGTATTAATTTGCCTTTGTTGATAGGCCTGTGTTGATCGACGTATAATGTTCAACGTACCTAGGTAGTTCCTATCTCAGATATGGGACAACCAAGAGGGATAATTGTCGGGATATCGATCATGCGATCATAGAGAAGGCACTATTTTAGTCAGTGAGTCGCTAGCTCTTCCTTGTATGAGTACTAGCCTCCCATAATTGATATGATTAGATAAGAACGATTACAATTATAATAAACTGAAGTACTTTATACTTATCAACCATATTAATAACAACAAAATTCATCACTGCATACGAAGCATAAACTCAAGCTGATTTGATCAATCACCGTAGTAAAAAATAAGATACGTCTCGTTATATTTGGACGTTACACAAAATACCTAGGTACATCATATACTGCTCTGGGGAGTGAATAATATCCTCTAGGCATGAATTTAACATCGGATAAATAATTTGTATTCGGAATATGCCGTATGAAGAATTTGATACAATCGTACGAATAATGCTCAGTACTATATTAGTTGCTTGAGCTTCTGAGAAATTACAACTTGCTTCTAATCACAACTTCCAATAAACTGGAAAAAGTTTGCAGCAATAAACCAAATCCTACAAGTACACACTTTCAGCTATGTAGGGTGCTACTTTGTCACCAGAGAGATCGCAATCAAACGACCCGGAATCCGAAGTAATTTTGTTAAATACTATGAGAGAGAATATTAGTGAGGGTGAGGTAGCAGGTCTACAAAGCTCAGGTAAGGAACATTAATCACTACCCGTCCATCAGTAATGCTAATACCTTTCCCTTCAGAGGATTGGGAGATAGTCAGGTATCTTAATAGAAAATAAATCGATCAAATCAATGGTATGGGTCCAAAATCGGATCAAGAGACACTCAAAGCATACAAAGAGATAGAATGGCCTACTCTTTACTTCATGACTTTACCTGCTTTCCAGAGCTTCCACTTGAGCTTAGACGTAAGATCTGGTTCCATACTCTACCAGAGCCACGTCTAGTAACTTTTGAGTTGTACCCGAATTCCGGGGCAGGGCTGAATCGAAGGCAATATCAAAAATTCATCAGTTTTGCCATCAGGGATTATACTCCGACTACAGACGACACCAAAAACAAAGAAATGAGCCTCGATATTCGTCCATTCTTTCTGACATGCCATGAGCTCAAAGATGTATTCCTGGAACATTACAAGAGCTTCGATATCCATACCCAGATATCCGCTGATGGTAAATGTCTTTATACGCCGCCCACTCTACCCACTTACTCGACGATATGTCATGTGAGTATGGAAAGTCCTCCGAGTCAATGCTATAATGATCCTAAAGCCGACTGTCTGAAATTTAACAACCTCGCAGAATCAATAGAGATTCTTTCTGGCATCGGCATAACCTTGAATTTCTCGGCTTTGCGACATATTGCAATTGCTAAGTACTCAAAGTACGGCAATGGGAGCCTTATTTTGGAATCAACCTGGAAGGCCATTGAAGATAACTTCCCTCAACTTAAAAGTGTCACTCTTAGCGGAAATTATGGTGGCGCCGCTGTAAACAAATTGCCCAAGGGGATGCCAACCCTTACTCGTTTTCACCCCCTGACCGGAGACACCATGGGCGAGTTATGCAGGCAAACGATTTGCCAAGATTCTCATGGACTGGCGACCCCTAATGCCTGGATTGACAATGTTCAGCACATGGACATTATCTCTACGACAGCCTACGTAACCAGGAAAAGCTTCCTCGAGCGAACAATTAACAATAGTACCTATTGGAAGGGAGTTGATTTCTCCATATCTTTATGGATGGAGCACACATTGCATCGTGCGAAAGATTACATCCAATTGAAACCAAGATCTTGTTTAGAGGTTTATCATATATATATATAAGTGATATATAATAACCGATTTCCCCACTATGTGCACGTCCCTACTATGTGCACGACTTTGAAAATATCAACATTATGGCTTCAAACATCGATGATATACCTTTAAAGGCTCGTATAAAGCTTGCATTAGATCATTTGAAAAGGGTTCAAGCTCCTAAATACATCTAGACAGCTAATTTCTTTAAAATTGATCGATCCACGCTCTCCCAGCGGTATAGAGGTAAAACCACCTCGAGAAAACAGTTCCTTTCCGATACAAAACAAGCGCTTTTTAGTGATTAGGAGAAGATTTTAATTAATCAAATCAATAAGCTAATACAAAGATCTATCCCTTCTACAAGCTGTATAGTTAGAAATCTTGTAGAAGAGATCCTAGATAGAAAGGTAGAAAAGAACTGGACTAACAATTTTGTTAAGAGGCATTCAATATATCTTAAAAGTCAATATCTCCGTTGTATTAATAATTTGTGTGTGAAAGCCGATAATGTTGCTATATTTGATTACTTTTATAATCTGATTTGAGCTATTTTCTATTATTATTGATCTTTATTATCTAAAACGCTCTTGCTAATACCCCTCTTTTTTAATTTAGTTAATAAAAGTGATTATAAATACAATATACAGCCGAGAGATATATACAATTGAGATAAGAAAAGCTTTATAATCGGTATGGGGAGGATTATGAAGAGGATAATGAGTGCTAGCGTTTATAATAGAGGCAGAGTGACAAAAGTTAGGTAAGATGGATCAAGAGAGTTTATTACCCTATTGGCAGCTATATGCGCTGATGGGATAGCTCTCCCTCCCGCTCTTATTTATAAAGGAGACTTAGGGGATCTACAAGATACATGGGTTCAGGATGTAGGGGAGAAGGATAAAGCCTATTTTGAAGCCTCAAGCAATGGGTGGTCATCGAATGCTTTTGGCCTATATTGGCTTATAAACATATTCGACCCTGCTATACGTCGAAAAGCAGGTGGAAGATATCGTCTACTTATTGTCGATGGTCATTCTAGTCATGTCAATATGGAATTCCTTTCAAAATGCAATGAATTAAAGATTATTGTCTTAATTCTCCCCCCTCATTCTACACATCGACTACAGCCTCTCGACGTTGGAACCTTCGGTTTCCTTTCAACGAATTACAGTATATTATTGAATGATTTGATGTACAATAGCAGGGGGATTGTTAATATGACAAAGCGTATGTTTTGGGGTATATTTAAAAAGGCTTGGGAGCTTATTTGTACGAGGCATAATATCTTACGATCCTTCGAAAAAACGGGTATATATTCTATGAATAGGAGTCTTATGATTGACTGTATTGCTTTGGAAGCTTCTTTTATACCACCTATATTATTTAAAACTTGCAGGAATACTTTTGCTATACTGTATATATCAAAAGCGATATGTAGAATGAAATTAGAATTTCATCGCGCTCCCATTTATAAGATCACTTTAAAGCTTTTTAAGGCTGTAACTATATTAGAAGCTGAAGTTTCTATATAGGGGTATAGATCTAAAGATTTAGAAGAGGCTTTAAAGCTTGAAAAAAGGAAAAGAGCTTGTTCAAAGTGTTTAAATCTTATTGGAGAGGAGGGGAATAGTACGTTTTTATAATCACCTTTTGCTATTATTAAAGTTAGAGTGTATCAAGAAGATAAAGTACTTAAAAAGAAGTAAGAAAAGGAAGCTAAGTTTCAGATAAAAGTTGAAAAGAAAGCTAAAAAGGAATAGAAGGAGATTGAAACAAAAGAGAGAGTATTGCAGAGGGGAGGTTAATTATCAGATTGTATATAATACAAAAAGAGGAGGTTAAAAAGACTCTAAAATCAACAAAATCTCCAATCAAAAGAAATAAAAAGTTCCCCAAAGCTTCTTCTATTATAAATCTAACATCGACAAAGACTATAGAGCTCTCTGATACTGTAAAGACTAATAATTCAAAGGGAAAGAAGGAGGAGGTCATATTGCAATCTAGTAGAGGGCGAGCACTACGAGTTCCATCGAAATTCAAAATCTGAAGATTTTATTATATTTTTAGATAGTATTGTATCTTATCATTTATCAATTAAATTGCTAGCTCTTTATCTTATAAATTGGAATTGTTATTAATTTTAAAGTTATTCAAAAAGGGTGATCGAGATCGTGCATATAGCAGGGACGTGCACGTAGTAGGGAAATCGGTTATATACGCGAGTGGTGACTCAGATTTAATATTGTCCTTTTTTTGAATATTGATTTCAACTTGATTATTTATTTACAATGATAGAGGACCTGTATATATAGGCCTTTCAGGACTATCTAGAACCTTCTGTTTTATCTCTTGTATTTCTAATCAATGTCGTCGTCGCTACAAGACTAGAATCTTCTATAAGCCTCTGTCGATCCTGATTACCCCTCATTCCTAGTAACCTTAAATACAAGGCATTAAGGTTCAACACAAGAGAACCAATCGAAGGAGATCAAGACACTATCTACTACACTCAAGCAGTGGGAAAATTTGATATCGGGAGTGCATACTTGAAGCGCTCGGGTGGAATGTCGTTTATAGACTGCTATGCAGATGGCACATTGTTCAACTCTGAGGAGGCTAGGGAGAAGGGCCAAGAATTTGATGAAACAGGTCAAGGCGTTGGAAGCAAGTATTTGACGTGGCCATGGAATCGCCTGTCTTTAGGAGAAAATGTTTCATATGACAATTCTCGATTCAAGAACCATGTTTTTGGGGTTCGTAGAAGTTTCGCTTAGCTGAAGGACACCAGGTGAATGTGTAGTAATAGTACATCACTGGCGTCGAGATAAATGAATCCTGGCATTTCAAATAGTTTTTAGTTAGTTATGAATTACAATTGAATTCATCCCTTCATTAATACACTTGCTGTAGAAAATTAAGTATGTGCACCCTTGATATCCCAGAGGTATTCGGTAAATTTCATAGTGTTAACTAGGTAGGTAGCGTGTGAAACTCGACATAGCGACAAGATGCCTACAAAGACTTGTATGTTTCTGCCTCTTTGACAGTCTTTTTGCATAGATTTTCATCCTATAATTCCAAATTTTCATTCAACTCACTGTCATCAAGTAGGGAGCTATACACGTGACCTGCAACCCATTTAGTTGTCGCTCTTTCGGCTCCTTCTGCCTTGTTTGTAGTAGCTCACATATGTTATCTGTAACTATTTTTTGCATCATGTTTCTCATGCTCTCGGGAAAGCACCCAGCTTAGATTGATTCTCACTTACGGACTGTGAATTTTTAAAAATTATTAAGGCTTGCATTTATCTAGCCTATTAATCTAAGTTATTGATATTATGGACCTATCCCAGTACCAATCACTCCGCCCAACTATACAAACTTATTCTGCATTCATTTGGTCTACAGTATAGCGTAGCGGAGCTATCAACCATTTTACTATCCCCATTTCCCTCCGAGTTGCACTAATCCATATCTTGAATCGTCCTTGGATCATTCCATGGCCATTTATCATAGTCATATCTTGTGGCCGATTCATATCCCTCATGCTGCTCCTTCCCGCCACAACTTCTGTAGAATGATCCATCGTAGTATACTGGCAAGTTATCCTTCCAATGGTCAAAATATAGGCTTATGGTACCACGGCAACTTTTAGAGCGAGTGATCAGTGAGCGTGGATTACCTCCTGGGTCTTTTTGATTGGGGAACTTCTGTTTATGATGTAGAAGTCGTGGTCTGGCTGAAAATTGAGGAGGATTGATGTCTCAAACTCAATGCCTCCCCAATAACTCGGGTTAATTTGAACTCGCTCCAGATACTGACTTTTGTAGACTATGCAACTGTCTAGCGCCAATTGACCCTTAACAGATGGTTCTTGAACCCAGTCTTCGGGATTCACGCGGTTGTGAACCTTCTCAACACACTCTACCAGAACACTGATAGTATTAGCATTTACAGGATGCAAGCAGTTGATCGACAGCGGGTTGAAGTCAAGTTCTCCTTGGTCAACAGATCTGTCATTTCTGCAAGTATTTTCTATGTAAGTTAATTGCTTCAAGTGCGGAAATAGTGTTTCGATATGCTTCCATAGATGAGAGGGCAGCCCTCCGAAGATCCCTCGTCCATTCAAGTCGACAAAATGCTCAACTTCGCTGGTATAGATATATAACCTAGTTATAAACCGACAGGTTCAAGTGCATGTTGAAGAACAGTAAGTCCGTCGCCATTTCGTGCAAGTTGCGAATGACCAACGTATCGCTCTTATTGTCAATGTAGCCACTTGACGATGCATGAAATGTTGAGTTACTGGAATCGGTAGTGGCATCTGATATAACTTCATCGCCGGGCAGGCCTCTGAAGATCCATAATGCTATAGTGTTCGAGGAAGAAATCATGTGACTCGCGACAGACAAGTAAAAGTTGGCTTGGAACGAACCCCGCATTTTCACGCCAAATCTCAGCGGACACAAGTTCAGAGCCTCCGAAAAAGGAACATAATCTGATTCTCTGAAAAGATGCAGCCCCACCAAGCGTGGTTCCGGCAGGGCGTAGAACCAGATTGTTCGACGCATTTCGAATGGTAATTTTGGAAAGCAATTAAACTTTCTCAAAAAAGTCTGAGGCTGTGTCGGCTCAATAAATGTCTCCCAGTATACACAGATTGAATTTAGAAACTCCCATTGCTCATCCTTGTTCATACGCGCATATTCCCAATCCACTAAAGACGTTAGTCCAAATACTACAGCAAACCTTTGAAAATGAACGAGGGGTAAGGTACATTTGAAATCTTGGTCCACCACGGCTAATCTATCTAAATCTATCTCTTCTTCCGTTCCATCCTGTTTCACTATGGCAGGTTGATCAAATATACCTGTGCGTGGCTCCGTGTTCTGAAAGTTGATGATCTCTGGAAGTTTCGTGTCTTCTTGTAATTGTGTTTCATTTATCGTCTTAGTATCGCGGTCTGCAAATGTTAAGTTGATGGTAGCCGCTGAATCAATAGGATCAGGGGTTTCCGGTGACTCAACTGCCTCGTCACCCGCAGTAGTAGTTGTTCGAAATGCAAGTTCCTTCATGTCGTTCATTTCAAATGGAAGACCCGAGAATCTGGGCACAAGATTTGATGAATTTGTTTGACGATAGTATGAAGGAGGACAAGGGCATTGATTTGAAGAGAGATCCAAAAGCAGTAGATTTGGCTCTAGAGGCAATTCTATGAAAAAAGTTGCATGAATTTAAGTCGTATACCTACTGTATTAGATTTAGCGGGGCGCTGGGTCTCGTGGAAACCCCCTCATAAGGGATTCATTCTTCCTATACACTGTTCATTGGTGAATATACAGACCAACAGAAACACTAAAGGATTGATTTATAATATTCTTTGAAACCTCAGCTCGGTTCGAATACCTCGAGGAATGTTATGAAGGATCATTAAAGATAGATTCCAATATCAAACAATTGAAGAATGAATGTATTGTAAAATTCGAAATTTGAGAAGTGTCCTTTTAGCCCATACACTCACGGGTAGTCCTATCCTCAATGGCAAGATACAATACTGACAACTGGAACCTACATAGTAGGTTGCTACAATAAACGCACATTCCTGACCTCAAAGTACAAGAGTGCGAGTGTTATTCAAGATGACTAGATAATGTATCGTTATAACAATAACGATGGAAAGATTAGAATACTGTCGAGTTATGTTCCCCATGTTGCACTCATTTTTCTGGAATTTGGAGTGGCATTTCTAGTATAATGTCGGAGACATATGGGGTGAACTTTATACATGATTGAACATATGATATGCATTCAATAGCCCGGACTTGGAGATTGGACACATATCGTCAATGTTTCAACACAGTCAATATACGGATGCGATTAAAAGGACAATTGGCAAACCTCAAATATTTCAATATCTAGGTAATATGGGAGCCGGCGAGTACTCAATGCTCTTTTTTCTTGAATTCGCTTTAATTAGTAATATTAACGCGGTAAGTCCGTCATTCTAATATCAAGTATCTACTAACCATATACTGCAGGAGACTGGAAGATTGATATGCCGTTTCAAGCCATTGAGGCTGTGATTGCGATTACCAGTAGCAAACTGTTTCTATGGTAAATGATACTGAAAAACACAGACAAAAGTTTTGATGCGCAAGGGACGAAAGGTCAATCTGATCATTTTACATAGTTTTCTTGTAGCTCTTTTGTCAAAACTTATTACATTAGAACTTCATGGTAAGTGTTGGATGGTTACCCGGACTCCCACGCAAAACTGAAATCTCCGACCAAATCGACTGAGCTTGACTACAATGACATTATCCAAAATTCGATACACTTGGATTTAATACTGATTAAGGACTGATTGGGGCGAGGATCCAAAGCTACATTTGGATCCCTCCAAACTTGAGTGTTTTGGGTTGAGCTACAAGACAAATCCCAAGGCAATTTGATGTGCGTGCATTTTAAAAAGATATTTCGCGAAACTCAAGACTTTCAATATCGATATGAAAGTCGGTGACACCCTGGAAAGATGTAATGACTTTACGGTTGGACAGCAAGGGATTGGCAGTACTGGACCATACCATGATACGCTTGAGAGCTTATATGGAAATATCAAACTACCGGAAATACCGGTAACCCTCTCAGCTACAGCAAAAAGCAGATCGCTACCTAAAAGAATGAAAAGGAGCTCCGGGCGGATACGATGAAGCTGTCATAGTTCATCCAAATTACTAGGGCAAATTGACAATTAACTTGGCTTTCATCACTCTTGAAATCCTAAATTGGAGCGAAGAGTTTTGGGTCAAGCAAAAGAACTACTCTGATGAAATTGACGGCTTTCGAAACCATGATGATCCCATACCTTCTGGATTAAGGGTAAGGTGGAGTTATAAAGAACTCGATAAGAAATTTCGCATGCAACGTAGACGGCACACTATACCATCGAGACCATCAATGTCGAGGGGTCAAGGGGTGAAAGAATTGTTCGAAAGGAAGTCGAGCGATCCCTAAGTCTAACAAGGAAGGAAGACCGTAAGGCGATGAATAAAATGAAGGGTAGATAAAAGCCATTACAGCAAAACCTCTCCATAAGGATACCGGTTTTTTGTAGTCCTTTTTTAAGGATATGTAGAGGTATCCTTGTATAGAGATATCCAACTAATCCTGATATAATAATAATCCACTTCCGATCAATCCCAATCAAGCTATATTCCGTAACATTTTTAGAGTTTCAATTAAATCTTTTTCAAATCCAGATATATTGATTATAGAATAGTTAATCCTAATAATTCTATTGATCTAATAAGGATATATGTGATTCTGGGATTGGAAGTTATAAGGGTATCCTAATGGGGGTTTTAAGGATATAGATCATTTTTAGCTCTGAAAATTTTTGGGATCAAAAAATATATCCTTATAGAGAGGTTATCCTTATAGGGGGGATCCTTATGGAGAGGTTTTGCTATAGTATTAGTCGACCAGCACATCAAGAGTGGCGAAGAAATAAAAGATTAGACACTAAAAAATAAGATATCACCAACAATCAACTTGCATGCCTAATGTGATCTTCATACTCGATTATACCCTGGTAAGCGCCGGTGACTCAATTGAGTCAGTATTGTAAGATTACAATTTTGCATCGATCAGTTGTTATGATTTCAAATACTTCATCTGAAGTATTCGCACTATCTCCAATCGCTGAACATCACTCCCCAGCGACGATGATTTTCCCATTTCAATAAACTGCTCTGAACAGTATCATAATATGTCATCACCCATCGTCGCTTCTACGTAGATTTCTGTTGATCTTGGAAATCTCCCATGCTTATAGAGATCTCCCAATATTCCGGCATATTGTCGGGTACAACCCATTCCCCTAACCCATTTTTTCGGTAGCCATTCACAAAACGTCTCGCCAGTGGAAATTGATACGATTGGTCGAAATTACGACGCTAACTGTCAAATATCTCGCATCTCTCTCCATAAGTATCCTTTTACTCCTCCATCCCGAAAAGCCGTAAAAAAGTAGCGACGGGAAGTACAAATAAAATTAATCCATCTCCGGTTTCCCCACTCGTAAGAAGCGCTGGAACCACTGAGTTAACAGGGCTCGAAGTCGCTTCAATCCCCCACTCTCAAACTATCCACTTTCACACACTCCGAACCACCGAGGAAGTCTCACGAGAGTCGGAGTGAAGCAGAGTGAAGCAAAGACCCTTCCTTTGATCACGAACAGGACAGGATCTGGTACCTTGAAATTTTGAGTGATGAGACATGGAACATGGTTAAAGATGAACAGATTCATCATGAACCCACCATAGAGAAATTTCTTCAGACAAGAAGTTGCGACTAGAGTGTGGGAATTTGTTTACTCCATCAAAAGAATTCGGAGAGATTGGAACGACAGATTTTTTTCCAATTGGCCACGATTGCCAACAGGTTACCATCATTCATAATTTTTATCAATAGGGGAAAACGGAAGGTGGATGCATTTTACATACGGAGTAGCTCCATAGTAGGCAAGGACCGGTATAGTATTCATTAACCTATTGATCTTCAATCTTCATAAAATTTCCGTCACTATTATATAATCTGCCAAACAGATCATGTCCACTTTCCCCTGATTTTATATACTTTTGTGCTAATGAATCATGGGCAGCCTTCATGTATGTTGACGATGACCATCACTAATCACCAGCCGAAACGTAAAATATAATTCCAAATGTCAAACATGTCGGAGCACTGCTACATTTTGAGTCTTTATCCCCGTGACCCCAGACTTGACGCTGTGCCGTCGGACACTTATTTACTGTTGTCACCTGGACTGACAGTAAGACGGGAACATGGTGTAACACAAACCAGAGTGTTGGGAAAGAGGATTGAATGTTGTAATCCGTGAGGATCTCTCCCGTTACACAAAGCAATAAGATTATTGAACGATGGAACAATAATAGAAGCTTATTCCTCAAAGATTCTAGTCTCTCCACGTGGAAAACGATAGCGTACCGGTTGCCCAGCATGCTGTAGATACAAAATCGTCTTACAGACCAATATATTCTTTTTTTCTTTTCCAATGCTCTAGACTGATCCTTCCCTACTTGATGAACACACGATAGGTCGGCTACATTCTGAGCAGTAAGCTTTCACGTCGTACAACATGAGTGCGTCTAACTTATCATTCACACTTGGCGTTTCTTGGTGCTTTTGGTGGCGTTGCCTCTTACCCTAAAGTGATATTAGGCTTTCAGCTTAATGGCCAGGGGGGTTACATTATCCTCCCAGAAAAGCCTAGATTTTCATACCGTTGAAAGAAGGGGAGTTTATTCGCCATATGGTTGTAGAATCTTCCAAATTTGTGTTTCTCGGAAGATTGTCATTGTATTCAAGTACGCGAGTACAAGATATGCCTCTATTGTATTGATATCAAGATAATCACCTCAAAATAGTTACCCCATAAAAGTCGTACCGAACGTTTTGTACAATTGTCAATGTCAGAATGAATGCCGAATCATCTTAATCCTTTTCAGCCTCTACTATTTGTGCTTAGTTGCGACTTTCTGCCAGAAAGAAGTTAAGATCTACAGGGACCCGGAGTACAACGCAGCGCTAAATGAGCAAGTGTTTGATTTAAATCTCAACACGGATTTGAAGACCCGTTTGGGCCTATCATGCAAATCTAATCCACACTCTCCCTGTCAACTTCCCGTCTCCTCACATCTTCTAGGCTAGAAGCCTCATGGAACCATGTACGATTTATCTAGGCGTAAAGGTTTCCCCTGTTTGCCATGTGTATTTTCGTATTACCTTTTATCTCTCTTGCCGTGTCGATTGACATGCATCAAGCAATCCTCTCGAACTCATCAATTTGCATCATCTAAAAGCTTTGGCACGAACGAGTCCGAGAATTGCAACATCGTTATTCTGTCGAGGTATCTCTCCACTCTTCTACACACGGTTCAATTAGCTTCAATGAACTTATATGTACCAACATCTGTGAACTGTCAGTAGGGCTTGTCTTTGACTCCTGATTTCGTCTTTCTTCTGGATGTAAGCCACAAGTTGCCATTTTTAACCCCAAAATTCGATTCGGTACCGACGAAGGAGATGTTGGACGCAGAATCTTCTTCATTGACGCCTCTACCGGAATCCCTCTCTCATGGTTTAGTTGCTGTCGCGACCTTTGGTCTCTTATCATTCTTCTGTTCGATTAGTTTATTCGTCTACCTCACATACAAGATCTTTTCATGGAAGAAGAAAACACACATCGGTCCAGGTGCAGGTCAAGCAACGTCTTCTGTTAATCAATTCTTATTCCTGATATACAATTTACTATTGGCGGATATTCAACAAGCATTGGCATTTTTACTCAACATCAGCGCGCTCAAGAACAATGGAATTATAGTTGGAACGTCAACATGTTGGGTTCAAGGATGGTTTGTGTCGACGGGAGATTTGGCTAGTAGTGTATTCATTGCTGCCATCGCATGTCACACATTTCTCAGTGTCGTAAAGAAATACCGTGCTCCACAATGGGCATTCTATACGGTAATTGGAGGATGTTGGGTATTCATCTACGGATTGGCCATCATCGGTATCGCTATGCACCCACATGATCTTTACGTGAGGGCTTCTGCTTGGGTAAGTTCTTTCACTTTATACGTATCTAGAAATACATCTAATGATCACGCACAGTGTTGGATTGGAGATAAATATCAAGATGAGCGTCTATGGCTTCATTACTTTTGGATATTCGGTGCCATGTTCGGAACCATTCTCATCTACGCCTGTATCTTCATCTACATTAGTCATCAATCGCGTTCCGCGACTCCCGGAAGTCAAGCATCCGATCTTCACGGCGCTCAACCTCTTATGATTCTTTATCCTTTGATCTACACGATTTGTACGATTCCACTTGCCGCCGGACGTATTGCCGCACTAGCCGGGTCGGATGTCAGTCTGAGTTATTACTGTGTGGCGGGTAGTATGATTGCGTGTAATGGATGGTTAGATGTACTATTATACGCCAGTACCAGAGCAGAAATCGTGTTTAGTGAGTATGCACCAGGCGCGGAAACGGGTTTGGAAACATTCGCTTTTATGGGAAAAGGACATTCGTTGGGTACAACGACGACTATCGAAGCTGGGGGGTTAAAGGCTGCTGTGAGGGGGAATAGAGGGAGTTGTAATTTGGGACGGAGAGGACATGGAGCGAGTGATAGCACGGATAATCTTTACAAGATGGGAGATATTTCCGTGGCGAAAAATGTTAGTGTTCGTGTGAGTATAGCACGAGAGGGAGAGTTAGGGATTGGAGGATACCAAAGGGGGACACCGGGAAGTAAAGATGATAGTGAAGATCATGGGAGTGACTCGGGGTGGGATAATATGAAGGGTAGAAGGAGTGAAAGTGGGAAGAGTGGATTTAGCGATATGGCTTAATCTTTTGATCTTGAGTTAAGATCTTAGATAATGTCATTGATACTTGATGATTATTTCTTTTGTTAATTGCATTGCAAGGAGTGGATGGATTTTTTTGAGCACTGGCTCTTGCATTTACATCGCATTGATACCCAATAAGTACAATATTGTCTGATTATTAGTGGATATGACATGTACACACATAGTACATGATAACTATTCACATCTTTTTGTTATTAGACAGAGTTTCTCAACTTGTACATAGGAAGATACACATACAGATACACATCTGAAATACACACACACATGACATTTTGATACCTTACATTCAGTGTAACAATCAGGATGACTTCTTCCGTCATCAAAGCCACGCTTGTTGAGTTGACAGCCAAGCAAAGGTCAGCAGCCATTTAGGCTACCATAAATCACAAACCTACTGAACAGCTCCCCGCAAAAAGATGGCATCTATAAATATTCAACATCACCTCATCATTTACGTTACATCCAAGATCTAGAAGCTTACCAATACCATACCCGACTAGCACTCGACATCAGCATAACTAAGATTTCCAACTCATCCGAAACATGGCATCCACAAGCGGTGTGAAACCTACTCTAGTCGATCTCCTTCAAACACCCATTTCTCAAAGTCTTCCAGCTGATATTGTGGAGTTGATATTGTCACAACCAATGTTCCTACAAATTCCGTATGCGCTGAATCTTCGTACAATATCGGCTCCTCTTCTCCCGTCAAATCGGATATTTCGCTCCGGTTCTTTGTCTCATTTACCGTCTTCTTCACTTGCTCTTCTGGAGTCAATACAATGTTAAGACCATCCATACACTCATTTATGTCGTCATCAGAAGAATCAATACTAAAGCTAGATAGCATAGAAATAATTCGAGATGAGGGAAATGGCAACAGTGTAGTAAGAAACATATCAATAGCCGACTTCACAGGAGAGGGTGGGAAAACAGCATTTGTAAAGATGTATGGGGAGGGGATTTTAAGAGAGTAAAAAACGGCATTCGGAAAGTTTTCAAAAAGGTAGGAGACATTAAGGGAGGAAACATATTATTTCATTGTACTGCAGGCAAAGATCGTACAGGCGTTGTCGCCGCATTAATGCTTGCTTTCTTTGGTGCCTCGGAGGAGGAAATTGCGCTGGATTATGCATTAACACGTATTGGGACTGGACCACATAGAGAAAAGTTGTTACAAGAGATGTTGAAATGGGTAGGAGAGGAAGGTTTGGAACAGCCGGGACTAGATGATTTGTCTAGTGTAAAGGGGGAAAATATCATCGCATTTTTGAATTGGATGGATGCGGAATGGGGAAGTGATGTGGAGCGGAATGTGAACTGTTCTGAGCATGTAGAAGGTAGAAGGTAGAAGGTAGGAGATGGAACGGCGTTGAGGGATGGCTCATTAAGGAGTGTGGGTTTGAAGGTAATGAGTTGGAGAATATTCGAAGGGCTTTTATCTAGTTTGAAGATATTTGGAATTGTATACCAAAAATCGAGATGATGTCTTAAAAATGTGGAACACACTAAGCTCGTCGCCCGATCCCAACTCAAATACTCCCTTATGTTGTCCGCTGATACATTGACTGCTGCTGTCTACATAGATATGTCCAGCGTTTACAGTCAATACTCACCTCGGTATGCACATGTGAAAGGTCAGCAAGTCCAATATTCACACGCATTATATCTGCTGCTTAATTTTCAATGTGTTTATTATTCTGTAGCTAGTGTGACCGAGGACAGGCTACCTAAAGGTTTTTCTCTCATTCAATTCCCGATTCCCAATCTCCCATTTTGATCATTATCATCTATAGCAGAATATAGAGCAAAGATACATGTAAAGACTTTAATACCCGCCCCGGAAATGTAATTTTCGCAGCCCCAAAGTGCATAGGTCCGAATAACCTTAGAACCCTCAAATATCCAGATGAAAATGTGAGCCTACTGAAGCTTGGTAATCATGGATATCGGACGTCGCGAAGGAAACGATGGCGTGTGGAAAATACCTTAGACCTCCCTCCAACTTCCATGAGAAACTACTACTCCTCCAGAAGCAAGAAAATACAAAGCGCTTAGTCGTCGCCAATAACAATGAGGCGTTCCTCCTCGAAGGGTTCCTCCTCGAGGGGTTCCATAATATTCTCGTCTTCTTCATCAAAAAGCTGCTTGAAGTAGTCATATTCACCGAGCAATGATCCATCCTCATTACATCTTACAAAAAGCGTTGGGTTCCCACTCGTTTGAACCGCCATAAAGGGTCCCGGAATTACCCCCCTCCTAACATGATCGGCATAAAATGAAGTAATATAAACCATCCATACTGGCCTAAGATCAATCTTTTTCCAATAATCCATGTTCGCCTGCTCTACCTTCGAACTGTGAGTTTCCCACAACTCGCGACTCATCTGGATATCCCCCTCAATCTTATCCGAATGGATCCGTGGGTTAACCCACTGACCGTTTCGCAATTGTTCAATATTGTGAGGATTCATAATAAGTCCACTAAATCACTTATTAATATCTTACTAAATAAGGGATATCTTGATGACTAATACACATATAATATGATCTTATATTATAAAATCATATTATCATATAACGTGGTTTAACAGTGGCTCGGCCATATCAGTGGGTCGGCCACTTTAAAATACATATAAAATCAGCCTTTTTCAATATTTCTATTTTAATTATCAATCATTATTTTTGAAAAAGAAAAGAATATTAAATAATAATAAAAAATCAGTTATTCAAAGTAATAATTTTTTTTTCAAATAATTCTTTTCGATTTCAAAAAAAATCAAAATTGTCATGATTTTCGTTACAAAAAAGCTTTTTTTTATAATAACTATTTTAAAAATTCTAATTTATTGAAACTAATTAGATTTTTATAATCTATATATAATCAAATATTTAATATTAGATTTTTAGAAAATTATATCAATAAATAAAGAAAGTGCACGGTTGTGCACAGACGTATTTTGTATGTAAAAATGGTGGCCGACTTACTGATATGGCCGAGCCACTGTTAAACCACGTTAGTTGTATAATAGTATCTCTTATCAAATTGATTTATAATGGAATAGAATGAAATGGAACTAGATGGAAGTATACAGGAAATATCGCTAAATTGATTGGTTGTACTTTCTTTTTATTATCTAAAATGATTCTATAAGATACGATTTAAATCGATCTTATTTATAAGCATAGAATATACTGGAATTTCATTATAAACTATATAAACCTAGAATATTCTTTAAAGAAAATCTAGGAAAAAGCAAGCAATTTATCTCAACTCAGCCTAGCTCTTCTAAATTGACTTCAATTCAACTCTTATTCTATATATTCGATTTATCCCTCAAGCTTAAACTGACTAGATCTTCCACTATCATTATAATAATACTATTCCTTATTATTATAAAAGCTAACCTCCAAGAAATATACACTTCGTTAAAATCCTGAAATCGATGTTCGGGGGAAGTTCCGTCAAATGCTGAAGACGCGGGAATCTACGGATATTATTGAGTACAATATTGAGTCGTTCGAGTGCAGGGCATTGACTTTCTAATCCTGTCCAGAATATGTCCATATGTCGTTCGGCTACACTCAGCCAAGGCATATCGATTATATCGATCATATCTATAGTCAAAGATCTCAGCGCTGTTAAGATCAAAGAAAAGCCGTCAACATTCGTATGCTTTGAAAGCATATATATGTTTGAGAGATTTAAGGTATCCACCTCCATATCGAACCATATACCACCAGATTTTGCTATCACTGTCGGCTTTCGGTAATTATCGTCATCTTCATCCTCGGGATCACGGATTTTCTTATTGATACCATCAAATTTGAAGTGACTATAGTGCTTCAAGAATATCTCTCTTGCCGTACGGCATACATATTGTAGAGCATATAGGAATGTAAACGCAGTGAGACTAATTGACGAAAGATCATTCTCGATAGAAACCGCCGCCTTGGAACAATTGTCCCAATATCTTACTTGGCACAGAGCCCAAACGTTGCTATCTGGTGGGGGCAAAACGTGGAACCAAATCTTTCGTTGTGATTCGATGGGCAGAAGTGAGAATAAAACAAATGAATCAGCTGAAGCTGGAGCATCTATAGTGCTGAGTAGATCATTTCGATAAAGTTTTATCTCGAAGAAGTTGAACATCTCTTGAATCATGAAGATAAATTAGTATAGTCTTCAATATATGTATTTGAGTCGGGATTGAATAACCTACCAGAGCTGTAGTAAGCTGCTTCAAATTTCTCTTTTCCAGAGAAAGGAGTGTCATTGTTGGTGTTGCACCCAGAATCTGGGCTGACTAGGTTGACTGGGATGACTAGAAATGTTAGCCCATCGAATAAAATCGGTGAAATTATCAAAGTTTGTGAATATACCTGAAGTAAAGTTGGTTTGAAACTTGTTTTGTGTACTCACAGGCTTGACTTTATCATTTGTCATGACTTGATGATCCGGGATAGCTGCAGTAGCCATCCCACAACCAGTGCTTTCAATGCTTCCTCTGTCTTCAACCGGACTGGCCATCAAATAGCCTGGGGATACAATATCTTGACGTTGAGATTCATTTTGTGAGGAGGTGTCCATAGTTTTCAGGTTCTGAAATTTTCTCCTTGATAGATTATAATTCAAACACCAACTCCAGACTTCAAAAAACTCCTTGTTGACTTCAGCGCTAAGAAAAGTTAACAGAAAAAAGCAGACCAGTGGGAGAACAAAGTCGTTCGAGCTTGAGGACATTGAAATTTATTAAGAAACAAGGTACTGTAATATGCGGACATGGCCGAGTCGACCACCAATGAGAAGTCTCTTTAGCTACCAGAAAAAAATGGGGGGTCGCATATGTTCAGTGAATTCAAGGCCTAGGTAAGTTCTGCTTCTTATTCGATTTTATTCCAACATGTTCCGAATCTGTATTTGCCTTGCTTATTAGAATGAAAACAATGAATGATGAACTGCTTTAGACAAAAAAACCGGATTGTTATCCCTTCCTCTGGTACTAATTTTGCTCAATTCTCAGGATGTACATGACTGGAGCTCTTTGAGCTTTACATGAAGGAGCTCATCTGTACTTCTGGGGCTAGTGAATCTATGTGAATGAGCTTTTGAGAAGTAGTCCTGGGTAGATGATGAATGTAATTTGAACAAAATTCCAAGCTAACAATCAACCTCAAAAAGCTACAATCTGGTTTGGAAACGCTGGAACGAATGAAAGCAAAGAAGTTTGCAAAGTAAAAACGATCGTCTAACAGAACTCGAAGTTTGAGTACTGCATATATATCATGAACATAAAGTCAAATTCAAATTTTTGGACCTCTTCACATTACTCACATGGCATCTCGCCATGTTAAAAATGTCTCATAATAAGAAGCCAAAGGAGAATCCCCTTGCCTTGAGCAAGAGAACCACAAAAGTGAAGCATCAGCAATTACATATCATTTATAGCGGTCCTCCAAACCCTTGAGGTGTGTCGTAGAAGGGAACCACAGTTAATTTCATCCTTCTTGGTATCAATCTATGCCAGCTATAAGCCGAAATCTACCCACTGTGAAGAAGATACAGCGCCTAAAAATAAGAGCTCCTGCCAAATTTGATTTCTGGATGATAATAAACCTACCTGGTCAGTTGTATAGCCTCCTTTACAACTGCATTTCAGCATAGCATTAGCCTAGACAAAATGCTACACGTCTCATCCGAAGCTTTCGGTGCCCAAGTAGTGAAGTTTGAAGATGCACAAAGTAATGGAAAGGATCTTCGGATGAGTAAGTTTCAGTTAGTACATTCATACGGACGTCAGATGAGGAGGAAATATCGGTTTCCTAAGCATCAAACAATAGTTAATGTAGCGAGACAAACTTATTAAGCCGTAGCTGCCACCTTGTTTCTGTTCAGCTCAAGCTGCCAAAATCAGGAGGCTAAGCCTCAATTGATAGATATGCAAAGAATGCAGTACCTGATTTGATGAGGGATGTTGTTAAAGTCATCCCGCATCACATGAGCTACTGAGCAAGACATATGCTCAGTGCTTAGAATCGCGCAGAAATGACCGGCCAGAACACACCAGATTCTATTTGAAGCTCATCAATAGCCTATCCACCCTAGCTATTGAGACATTATAAGACAAGTTTTGCTGAAACAATCCAAACAACTTAGCTAGTATATCCTACTATATGCGGTAATGATGTGCGAATTGCGTCGATAGATTTCTCGTGCATTCGGTATCGTTCTCGAGGGGTCATAACCCGTGATCATTGAAAGAAATATAGATGAATGAGACAACGAGTGGATAGCATACTACGACCATCAAGGGCAGATAATGAGGTTTCGGATGGAGAGATTCGTATGGAACTACTAAATCATCAGATGAATTGATTGTTGATCTTGAATACAAAGCCGGAAAATGTTTGTCGTGGGGTAACGCAAATGAGACCACATGGTCTCCGTATTTTGGGGGTGGGGGCACCACGAACCACAATGAACCAAATGTCTACGGTTCCTGCGACAAGGTCGAAGGAAGAGATGATTGATGATGTTCGGTAATAGTACTGTCAAGAAAATCAAGCAGACTTCGAATATATTACATTGGTAAAGCTTGCATCGGTGAAAATTCATTGCCAACAACCCTTCGAGGATGCAAGTGCTATCCAGCCCTCCAGTTTTACATCTGCGAATGCTTCAGCGTTGGTTTGAGTTTTTTTTTATTCAAATCCCCCCCTAGATAATAACTTGTGTAATGTTATTCGTCTGGCGGTCATGCTGAGATCTTATCAGCGAAGCCCAAGCCGGTATACGAGTGTATGTGATGTACCAAGCGGTTGATTCTATCGACTGCCCAACAAGTGTTGAGCTGCTTTTAATACGACGTTTCTGCAATGAAGCGAGAGTTGTGTTTTCATGGAACCAGCATATACCATTATCCAAAGGTCCGTCTATGTGCAAATCATTGAGCCTTTGAAGGGAGAGGAAGAGCGAGCTTAGAAGTTTAAGGCTACTGTTGAACAGATAGAGATGGATTGATAAGGTGGACGTGTCTCAAGGCCATTTTTAGGCCAGAGAAATACATACAACCAGCATTCTTTATAGATGATCGAGCGCGCCAAACTAGCAAAGCTATTTTCCTCCTCAGACGCACTGAGATCGTGCCAAGGTTAAGATCGGAGAGGGAGCTGATTTGATTTTTGATGCTGAAAGCTATGTATGAAGTCGATCAGATAAGTATAAGTCATTGCTGCAGAACCGGTCAGATATTTCACTAATCTACCTATGATAATACAGTTGAAAACCATCCCGCTCCTTCCTATTCCCAACTTCCGATCTTGTTATCCCCAGGAAAAGAACATGGAGCAATTCCACAATTCCTTACTCAATTCTATCGTAACTATAGATGTCTCGACCGGGAGGGGCGAATTAGTGAGTCCTTTCCACGATTTTGTAAAATATCATATCCACATAAAGTTGTGAGAAATCTCTTTGTACCAAAAACAACATCTAAACAACCCCTCCGTAAATCCAAGTACAAGGTATGAACAATAGTAACGATACGTGTATAATAAAATGTCTCCAAACCAAACATATCACTCATCAAACAATTCAACTATCATCATCATCATCACCATCAACAAAAACAACAACCCAATTCCAACACCCCACAAATTTCACCCCCAAAACACCCCACTCCAAATCCCTCAAAATGCCCATCCTATGGGACCCCTCGATCCACTCCCCCTCCCTCGCCTGCCAAGTCTGCAAATTCCAAGAGGTAAAATGCTGTTGTTGCGGACTCATGGGGTACAAAACTATCGGCGATGGTTGCACCACCTGCTGTAACTATCTCACCGGTCCCACATTCGATGGAGATGCGGATGTTACGTGGATTGATGAGGCATTGTGTCCGGAGTGTTCGCCACTGGGATAAGGTAAGTTGTGATTCGATTGGACGAGATCCGGAGTCGAGTGGCTTGAGGATTCATCTTTCATTTCTTTGTTTTGAAACTTTGTTTAAGGTAGGCAGATTTCTCTTTGTGGTTCTTTGTCTTGTTTGTTGGCGAAACTCGTAACTTTTCTTTTTGTTTGGGTACTTAATATAAATTTGTTTGTTTAAATAACTTTGTCTAATTCAGTAAGTGAGTATGTATTGTGAATTGGTTCTGACTAATATCATTCTTGTAATCTTTGATGTTATCACTGGTGAGAAACCTCATGCCCCCTTTGACCCCTGGAATATCATAATGATTGTGAATAGGTAAGGAAGGTACTTGGTGAAAACTGACCCGGCAGGTGCCAAATCTTCAAGCTGATGTCGTAAATGGAGAGAATCTTTACCGTTTCATCTCATTGCTCTCCATAGCTTAGAGACTTTTAAGAGACTGTCACCCAGTCTGCTAACATACTCACCTAGAACCCTTCACATTGTACACACCACTCTCAAAGTTTCCATAAAAAATGAATTATACTACCGAAATATAAAAAAATCATAAATACATTTCCCACACATGAATCATTACCCCCAATTACCCAATATCGCAACCCATGAACCATTATGAACCCCCACAATTATCCACTTCCAACAACCTTCCATCTATGCAAGCTGACCTCTAACAACGCCCAATGGGAAAAGATTTGTATGAGCATCTGTAAAGAATCCCGCTGGATTAGCTTCAATCTGAGCAACCTTGAAACCGGTACTAGTATCAGGTCCTCTATTAGGAGCATTGATACCAGTTGTGAAAGGACCAGTCATACAGCCCACACTGACTCTACGATGATCATCACCGACTGGATTTGGGAATGCAAGACGAGGAGGTCCAGATGCACCGCGAGCGGCTTCGTGAATATGTGTTGCTGTTTTGGCGGGGGATTGATATGTTCCGGCTACGTTGAGTAGTGTGATGTTCTGAATTCATATAAAAGTTAGAGATAATTCGATCATTTAGATTTATGAAAACAAGTACTTACGTAGCAAATAGTATCTTGATGAGCGTTGATTCCATAATTAAAATACCCGACAGCATCTGAAGGGCCCGGAACCGAGACGGTACCATTGCGAACTTCGGATCCGAGAGCAACGAAATTGTATGTGCTAGTGAAGACAAAAGGTGATCCCCCGCTTTGAGCAGCTGGAGCGACTGCCATATTGGCTGGTACATCGGGGGATTTTGGGTTGTCCTTGGAAACATCTTGGTCGCTTACTGGGGCCCCGTTTGCCCATTGATAACTACCGTAGGATGCATAAGTTGCGCCGTCTGCAGGAGCCGCGATGGCTGTGGTTGTGAAGAGGAAGGTCGCAGCTGTGGCGGCAATGGTGAACTTCATATTGACTGGATCGGGATTTGTTTTATAAGAAGTATTAAAGTATTGGATGTTTGGATGTTTGATTCTTCAAAAAGTAGAGAGCTTACAATGTTAGTTGAGCTGTGATTGTGTTGAGAAATATGATTGAGACCAGACTTTCACCTCCTTCTTATACATATTTCCCATCCTGATTTTTGCTTTGGGACAAGAGATCTCATGGCCAGACTTTTACTTGCCAAAAATTTAAGCTGAGAAGTTGAGGATTGGAATATAGAAACCAGTCGTGATACCAAGCATGAAGTGAAAAGCACTGATATCGCCAAGTATGAAATCATGGCTGTGAAAGCTAACGTCCAGAAGCTTTTCTAGACCTCAAGGGCAAAAAGTAAACAAACATCGCTATGAGGTACGGAGTAGCTTCAATATTTACTGCGGATTGTAGTATTTGGAAGAATATTCACTAGATATTTCTTGGCCTTCTTGTTTATATTCAATTTGGGAATTTCGTAAATGCCAAGCTCCCCGCACAACTCTTAATTGAGAAAAGAAGATGGGGATCTTGAGAAACCAGATGAATAAATGTGGATGGGGTGTATGAATAAGGTTCAGTTGGCAAGCTATTTAAGTAATTACTCATGAAGCCATGCCGTCATTGTGCCAAGCTTCAATAATCCCGCCACTACACTGCCAAATCGGTTACCAGTACTACCTAGGTACAGGTTAAGCTTAAGTAACTGAATCCAGTACCGAAATGTTGTTATCATCATCTGAATGTGGCGCAGTGAATCCATATGTAAGCTGATATTGAGAGATAAGATTGATATTGAGGCGACAACCCTATCTGCCAAGCAAAGTAAAATGTTTTGAAAAAGTGCTATACGTGTAGTATGATCCATATAGCCGACGGGGGACATAAACGTGTGTAGCTCCCCTTAGCAGAATGCGTGTAGAGGCGGAGAACCAAGATCAAGACAACAAAACGAGCGGTGGCTTGGAATCATTGTACCCCCGACGGTAACACCCAGCAACTGGACCTGATCCATCATTGTGGCTTCTCCGGCAATCCATCATCCATTCCGTTGGAAGCGGAAATCTTGGCAAGATTTGTGGCAATCCTCTCAATCTGATATCCACGAGAAACCCCCAAATCCTCTTCTCAAAATCACTAATGTCCACCCCTTCTCAACTCAACCTCGTCTCCCAATGTAATCATACTGGATACGGAGTCGTTATTTTTTCTCAAAGTATTTCGTTTCGCAATCAACATTGCATTCATGTTCCTATCACCTATTGTCCAATCTATTCGCTTCATACTTGGAGTGCAGCTTGTATTGCCGCATGGAATCTCAAGTGAGGCTCGAGCATCTTGTCTGACCCGACAATCTTTTGCCTCTTCTTCTCCGAAATCTGCAGTTTGCCTTAGTGAGAATAACTGATATTTGTTGATCATATCACGGCAGATAGTGATGTGAGTAGTGATGCAAAGGCAGTGGGTATAACGTTGGATTGTTATGAGACACATGTTATCGTATTTGGTGGATTTGGTGAAATCATGAGTTTGTGGAATTTTTCGTATCGAGAAGGAGCTCAATACCATTCAGTCGCGAACTTGATATGGGTAGTGGAAAGGTACGGTAGAAGCTGACCAAGAGATGGATCTCTGAGTTGTTTTGAATCACTTCCTAATTAGTAAATGTACCTACCTAGGGCTACCTAGGTATGAATCACAAGGTCACCTGCAACGTTTGAAAGTCATAGTGGCTGTGCGTTCTCATACTCGCGGGAGTCTTGCAAACAATATAGTGAATGCAAAATGTTGCACAAATGACCTCGGGAATGAAAGTACCGCAAGTATCGTTGAAATTCTTCATTTGGATTCAATTAAATAAAAGAATGCTCGAGCGACATATGAAAATTGTCACAATTCTAATATATCCATAACAACTTTGCTTTAGACCAGTGTCTCTGGGGACTAAAAAGCCTAGAGGATAAATCCATCCTAATGTTGCGCTTGTGAGAGTTTACCCAACGCAAAGATTTTCCAAAAGAATGCTTTATAAATCCAACCCGCATTCAACTTATCAATCGCCCATCCTAATGTTGCGCCGGCTCCAGCAAAGAAACGCTGAGGTGGATTCATTTGAAGGATCTTTTGAACAACATGCTTGGTGTATGCTTCCACTGGTATTCCTCCTCCAATTCTGACCCAAGCTTCATTAAGATCGGATTCGATTAATTTGTATGGAGAGTCTGCGGTGAAAGATATTAGCAAGATATGAACAAAAGACTCGAGGATGATGATACATACCTTCTGGTAATATTTCCATTTGATTCTGAGTCAACATGGCGGTACCAACTGTACCTGAAGCCACATCGATAACGAATATTCCAAAGGGCTTAAGTTCGAGCTCCAAAGTCGATATATACGAGTGTAGAGCGGCTTTTGATGCATTATAAAGTGATTGGGTTGGGATTGGCATATACCCAGCCAGACTGCTAGAGAATGCAATCCTACTTCCAGGGCCAGCTTTCATCAAAAGCGGCATAAAGACTCTAGTGATCTCAACTATTCCAAGTATATTTGTACCGAAAATCTTTAGAGCCAATGCGTAGTCACAATGCATGGCGAGGGTTATTGTTCGTACTCCGGCATTCTGGTAGAGGATATCAAGAGTTCCGCCCGTGGCCGCAGATATTCTTTCGCAGGCTGCTTGGATTGAGGAAGGCGATGTAACATCGAGTTCAATCAAGGTAATATCAGGATCTTTCTCAAGAGATTTCATTGTACTGAGTCGACGAGAGCTGGCGAAAACATGGTAGTTTTGACGAACAAATTCGAGAGCTAGAGAATGCCCGATACTTCCATCACTACAACCTGTAATGAGAATTGTAGGTTTCTTTGCCATACTGGCTGAAATGATGAATGAAAGAAGGAAAGGTCCCGTCTCAAGATATGAATGGGAAGAGTGATTTCGAGAATCTACTGGAGGTACAACATTGTCGCATACTGAGATATATGTAGTCCTCCATGGTGGAAGAATGGAGTGATTGTTGTGCAGTTTATCTTGGAGGATAATTAGTAAATACGAGAGTTGTGTTGCTAATCAATATATCAATTGAAGGAAGCAGATTTGGGGGAAAACCTGGTGTATGTTGGTGATGATGTGAATTAATAATGATGAAGGATGCTGTCGCGGTTGAAACATTATTGAATTCGTCTCAATGATTGGTTGGACCGTACCTTCTGAGAATAGTTTAGCTTCACTTGAGTGAACTAAACCCTGTGCACGCCTTCGCGCCCCTCTGTCTTACATTTTCCCATCTTCCTGCATTATCTTCAAATATCAATCAATTTTGTCAGCCATAATGATTTCCATATATGATTTTCAATCCATTTCTTTGGAAAGTATTGCGAGCGAGAGAATGAGATTGGAGTTGGATGACTTTCATTCTTGTAAATTTCTATTCCCTCTTGCTACTTGAACAGCAGCAACATCGTTTTAATTTATGATGGCACGTCGTCACGGCAATTATCGAAAGGATGTCAGACTTGTAGGAAACGGAAGATTAAGGTAAGTTGCCTGGTTGGTTCCCGAGAGTTGCAATACATTACTGACCACAAGTTAGTGTGACGAAGTGATGCCAGCTTGTAATCAATGTTTAAAAGCTGGCTGGAAGTGTCCACAATATGGAGATTCTTTGGAAAGAATGTTCCAGTACTCAGATGTGAGAGATTTTGAAAATTCTGCACATAATGAGCCTTTGAAGTCTAAAGAAAGGGCTTCCTGTATGATATATGGTACGCAACTTCTCATTCTTTGGCAAAAATGCCGCCTATGTCTTCAGCAGCCATCATTGATACTCCTAAAGCAGGCCCACTCGCATTCAAGTCTCAACCACCACCTATCATTCTTTCCAAAGAGATTTCAAACACTATCAATGATCGTGCAATGACTTCTTTCTTTCTACTCACATATTTCGGGACTCTGGTCCTGTCAAAGGATATTATGAGTATTTATTCTTTCATCGCAACGATCCCAATATCAACCACACACTCTACACAACCATCACTGCAGTTTCTTTAGCTGCATATGCTTATGCTTTCAAATATCCGTTTCTTCTTCAGAAAGCAACTCAATCCTTTGGTTACGCACTCCATCTTGTCAATGAAGCATTGACATCCATCGAAGAGGCCACCAAAGATTACACTATTATATCCGTGGTTCTGTTCAATACATTTGGAGTACTCACCTTTCAAAATTTAGATACCTTGATGGATTGTGATAGCCATATATCTGGTGCAACATCCATGCTAAAATTACGTGGGTTTCGTCAAATGGAGACTCGGCATGGACTTCAATTGTTTTTTCAAATGAATTCAATTCTCCTACAAAGTTGTATCTGGCATTCATTTCGGGTTCCTGATGATTTGATTGAGTTACAGAAACACGCTGCAGGTTTTTAGATGCAAATAATCCAGCCTGGAAGTTGAACCACCTGATTGTGGAATTGACCACGTTTCGTGCTGATATAAGGATGGTATACTTCTTGAAAGTTCTTCCATAATTAGAGCAGCTATAGACTTGGACATAAAGTTTTCGTCTCTCGCGATTGAGATGTCCAGATCACCCCAATGGCATTACAATTCTATTCCCATCGTATCTACATCAGGTACGATATTCGGTACATGTTATCATGTATACTCAGACCTCTGGCTAACTCAAATTTGGAATTATCTTCGTACCTGTCGCATATTCATTTATGAAGAAATTGGTAGACAATTTGAAGAGGGACAATCCATACATCCTATTGCCAGTATGGATTATTGTCTTTGGTTTACAACCTTACAAGAATGATTTGATGATATTTTTGCTTCTCTACCTCAATACTGTGGTGATGTTCCCAAAGTACATACTTCATCAGGAATTAGCGGCTCACCTGATAAAAACTTCATCACAGGTCCGCTATCTATTAGTGTCGTTCCTCATATCGCTAGTACTTATTTTCTTCTTTGGCCTCTACTTAATTCAGGCCGATGAACAATTTCCAATCTTCAGCGGGATTGGATTATTGTTAGATGTCGAATTTGGGAGATAAGACTGGAATCCAACAAATGTTCACCTTGGCAGATGTTTTGGAGAAGAGAGAGATGTTTCCGTGTATGAAAGTTGCTTAGCAAAGAATATATGATGTATCGCAAGACACTATAGTATTTGTTTGTGTATCTCTGTCTGATCATGCTTGTGTACCTTCATGATCGTATTTACACATATCTCTTGGTGAGGGTTTTGTATTTCTTTTTTCATTTACGGGGACTTGGATATATTCTATGTTTTCGGTCATTTGTGATCGTTCCAAGCTCAATAGACACAATCCCAAAACTCAAGTAACGCATCGTGGTACTATCAAGTACCTACGAACGCCTTAAAGTTTTCTTCTTTTCATCTCTTAGACTAATTTACTCGTCCTACCAATGTTTAGAAAACAAAGATCTTTAGGTTAAAAGTGATCACTTCACCGGAGATGCAAAATTCAAAATTAATTTACTTTGTCTTCATAAATGTCATTACCAATATCTCATTATACATAAATCTATATTTTCCCCATCCATCTATTCAACAATGGCATACCATTTAAGTTCTCTCCCACTGACCTCCAAAATTGGAATCTCATTCCCATTCTTCCCTCTGAAACTAACCTGGTTAGCACCCTGCGCATACAAAACTGCACCCGATCCCGTGTTCGCACCCTTCTCTCCCACACTTTGCGCAGGGACAAATCCACCATTTGCAGCTCCCGCCCACGTAGTCGCATATTCACTATTTGTTCCGCGCATCGCTACACACACGGGTGTGATTCCCAAACTGGTAATCGCGATGCCGATATTATCGCCTGCGGAAACTTCTTGTCCGACGGGGATGGAAATGGCGAGCACGGCGGCGCTTAATTCTGCGGGTGTGACGTCGAGGGTAGAGAGGGTTTCCCATTGGTAGAAGGGGGAGAAGAGCGCGGTGGTGTTGGAGAAGCGGAAGATGGTGAGGGTGACGTTGTCGGTTGGGGCGTCGCCGGCGAGGTTGATGCTGACGGTTGTGAGATTTCCGGCTTGCGGGGTCGAGAAGGTTTGGTAGAGGGCGTATTGGGGGAGCGAACAGTTGAGGTAGTAGTCTTGATGTTCGTTTCCGGAACCGAGGGGGGCGCTCTTGGCTAGGCCGTTGATGGGGGTACTGCTGTTGGTGGATGGGAGCGTGATGGTGGTGCTGAGGGAGGCGGAACAATCCAAATCTTGGATTGAACCGTCGGAGTTGAAATTGAGAACTTGGAATTGATGACCGTGTTGTGCGTTCCGGGGGCCGGCAAGGGGAGCGCTAGCTTGGATATCGGCTTGGTGCACGTAGGTTGCGTCACCGCCGGTAGAGGATGGAATGGTCAAAACACCGGTGGTTTGTCCACCGCATGTATCGCTGCTGATGATTTGACGAGTCCATGGGCCGGAGATATCGGTGGCGCGGTACATGATCAAGATTGTTCCTTGGCAGAAACCACACGTGTTAGATGCGGAGATGTAGTAGTATCCATCGCGGTAGAAAATATCTGGAGATTCGGCTTGGAAATCCACGAGATCTCCTACGGGGAGAACCTGTGTTGCGTTTCCAGTCGTGTTCATGAAATCGCTGGTGAGTTGCTGGATGTAGATGGACTGTTTGAAAGGAGGCCAGATGGATGCTCCGAGAGTGGTGAAATCAATGAGAGAATAGGCGATATAACCCGTTCCGTTAATCATGGCGACTGAGAAGTCACCCGCTTGCTGGGTTGCGGGTTCGGGTTGGTATCCTACGAGAGCACGGGAGGATTCAGGCACGAATCCGGAGGTGGGAGAAGAGGATGTGAAGATTACGTAGCCAGGAACACCGGCGTTGACCCAGAGGATGTAGAGGGCACGGGCGGAATCATAGAGCATGTGCGGTCTTCCGCAATCGCCGGATGCTTCGCAGATGGTGGCCGTGGCGTTTTCTTTGGGGTCGAAGAGTAGACCGTTGGAGGACCACTGTGAGATATCAGATTAGTACTCCAATACAATTCATCCCATGATTTTTTTCAAGAAAATTATTGGTTCTCAAACAAGCTCTGAAGCTCACAATATAGCAAAAGTGGAAAAATAAACATACCGTGACTAAATCCAGCGAACTCCAACTCTCAATTCCGCAGAAAGCTTCGCCACAGCCGAAGTTTAAGCCGTACCATAGAAATTGGCCTTCGAAATAATCGATCTTGCCAGAGGTGGAATCGATGAGATCACCGTCCGTGGAAAACATGTTGACGAAGGAATTGGATATCGTGGTGTTGAGACATGTTGCGGCTCCTAGGAGTGAAGAGCCTAGGAGGAGGGTGGAGAGGAGGGGATTCCTCATTTTTGTGGTTGGATGTGTAGATGTGTGATTTATGGTATGAGAATGAGAATGAGAATGAGAAGAAGGATCTTCTGTTCTGTTAATTTTTCAACTCCAGAAGAGAGGAGAGCGCGAGAGAATTAAGTATTAAAGAAGAGGATATACAAAAAGAATCTTCTGCACAATTCACAATTCACAACTGCAAACTTAGAACTTAGAACTTCAAAAAAAGAAAGCTCAAGGGTTCAACCGCTCCTCTTTATATAACCGTTCATCCCATCCATCCATCTCAACTCTTTGATCACCCCGTCATGACATGTCAAAGCCTCGGGTGCGGGTCCTAGCACCAGCACAACCACCTCTCCAAATGAATCAGGCACAACCAAAATGAAAACCCCCCCCATTATCAAAGCCAAGTCCAACCCTCCAGCATCCAGCAACCCCCCTGAAGCGTCCACCTCTCATTTACGTATTCCAATTCTCTTTCCGTATCCTCACCATCTCTCGTGGCTAGCAAACCACACGACGATCCTCTTACCTTTCCATCGAGTACCCAGACGAGCCAGGTATGTAGGTAATACACATACGAAGTACAACGCAGCTGACATCCCCAGGTTTTCTCACTCCCCATACTTTCGCACCCACATCTTGCTTGAAGAATGGTTGGCTGGTCGTTTACCATGGAATCCCATTTTTCACAGAGTGGACGCGGTGGGAACTGGGTTGTTGGATTATGAGATGAATGCTCTCTTACACTTTAGTGTATTTCCTTCCACGTTTTCAGATCTTGGTATCGTTACCTAGTGCTATGGTAGTGGAGTTTCCAACATGGAGGAAAATTGGAAGGCGTAATGATCAGCTGTTTGCATGATGGATACATAGGTATTTAGGTAATCAAATCTGATCACATCACATCATATCACATCAAATCCGAACAATCATCGAATGAAATAAACAGAATGAAATATGCCACGCCGGCCGGTAAGATTTCTCGCAAGATGGGTAATCAATGGCAGTGAGTGCATACGGCTCGGATAGGGAATTTGTGGTCCTGTCGTCCACTCTCCAGATCCCCACATCCCCGCACTGGTTCCCCATCTTGTACTTTATTTTGTGGACGGATGGTGCATGGGTTGGGCTTGGGTAACCTATGGATGGCCGTAGGTAGGGAGAGGGAATTTGGATGGAAGAGGTGGGATGATGCGCGGATTTTTAGCTGCATACTTGGTGTATATTACTTGGGATGATGTTTTTGATTTGAATGGAAAAATTAGATAGATATGTATACTATATATGTAGAATATATACACAATATTACGAGATTAAAGATTCGAATATATATTAGTATTCTTGATTATTATACATCTACCATCTCTCTCTCTCTCTCTCTCTCTATATATATCTATCTATTTATCTATATACCCACCAACCTACCTACTAAAACAATATTACCAATACCTACAATAACGTATACCCTCTCTTCATACCCTTCCTCTCCCTCTACATCCATCCCTCTACCCAACTCCCCCTACCCACCTACCATCCTACCTACCTAGCTAAACACTCTACCATACATCTGCTCGATGGATATGCAAAAATCTTCAGCCCAATCACCTCCACACGTCCACCATATCACCTCTCCAGGGCAATCTACACAAACTCCATCTACACAAATCCATCTACACAACAAACCCTCCGAAATCTCCGACATCCCACCCATCCCATCCCATCCCATCCGCCTCCCCTACCCTCCCCTACCCTCACCGCTCGGGAATACTCAGGTAGCTACGGATAATGACATACAAAGAATTAAAAACATTTCTCCGTCCACATACGCATTCTTGGCTGCCGAGAATAAAACCTAGAGGGTATTTGTTGTCCACTTTTTGGAGGGTGAGGAGGAGGGTAGGTAGGAATAAGGTTTGGAGAATGTGGACGGGTGTGTGCAAGGGGGGGATGGGTTTGTGTTGGGTTGAGTTGAGTTGAGTAATTGATTGATTGATTGATGATGATTGATTGATTGATTGATTGATTGATTGATTGATTGATTGATTGATTGATTGATTGATTGATTGAT